AGGGCGGGAGGACGGAGCGCCGGGCCATGAGCCAGGTGGGCTTGGGCCGCTGGGAACAGCAGGACTGGGCCCCATGCTGCCCTGCCCAGTGCCTCCCGCTGTGACACCCTGCAGGACGCCTGCAGCGGGGCTGTGACAGCCCCCTCCCCTGACGCCAGGGTGGGGTGCGCCCACGGAATGGGGGGTCCTCGCTGCTGGGTGCCTCCCCTCTGTGTCTCCGCAGCTGGGCGGGCTATCCTGGGTGGGCAGAGCTCGGTCCAGCACCCCCTCTCCCGTCCTGACTGTCCCAACACCAGGGACACGGAGCCGATGACACACCCGGAAGTGCACATCTGGCCGCATGCGGTCCCTCCAGATCACCCAAGGCCCTGAGCCTCTCATGTGCATGGAGACACACACACACACGCCACGGGGCACACGGGTAGGCACATGCACAAGCATACACATGTGTGTGCACATGTAAGAGGGGACCCCAAAAAATCCCAGAATGAGCCGGGCTCGGTGGCTCAGCCTGTCATCCCGCGCTTTGGGAGGCCGAGGCAAGTGGATTGCCTGAGCCCGCGGGTTGGAGATCCACCCTGGGCAACTTGGTGAGACCTCGTCTCTACAATAAATAAAAAATCAGCCGGGCGTGGTAGCGTGCGCCTGTAGTTCCAGCTACTTGGAAGGCTGAGGTGGAAGGATTGCCGGAGCTCAGCAGGTCAAGGTTGCGGTGGCCGGGAGCGGCCACTGCACTCCAGTGTGGGTGACAGAGCGAGACTCCAACTCAAAAAAAATTTTTTTTAATTGCCAGGTGTAAACATGGCTGGGTGGCTTAGCCTGTAATCCCAGCACTTTGGGAGGCTGAGGTGAGTGGATTGCCCGAGCCCGCGGGTTTGAGACCCACCTGGGCAACTTGACGAGACCTCATCTCTACAATAATCAAAAAATCAGCCGGGCGTGGTAGAGCGCGCCTGTAGTTCCAGCTTACTCAGAAGGCTGAGGCGGAAGGATCACCGGAGCCCAGCGGGTCGAGGCTGCCCTCCAGTCTGGGCGACAGAGTGAGACTCCAACTCAACAACAACAAAAATCCAGAGTGATCTTCTGGAGGGCAGGCCCCTTATAGTCCAGGCTTCTCCTCCACCCCCAGGTAAGTGTTCCAGGAACCCACTGGCATCCGTGGATCAGCTAGTGTTGTTGCTGCCTCCGGCTTCCGTGAATTTTTTCTGGAGATTCTTCCATCGCGTTTGCCCATTTCATGATGGAGGATTGACTCAGCGCGCCTGCCCTCCCTGCGCTGAGCGTTCAGCAGTTTCTGACCCCAAACGGCCTGACCCCCGTGCCCCGCCCTCCCTATCCACCCACCCTCGCCCCACGTGACTTTTTTTTGTTTCCCGGGATGAAAAAAGTCCTCCAAGGGAAACGTTTTGCCGACGTGGAAGAGGCGAAACCAAGAACGGCAGAAGCCCTCAAAGGCATCCGCTCGGACGAGTTCAAACGCTGTTCTGAGCAGTGGGAACAGTGTCTGGATAGGCGCATTGCATCCGATGGAGAGAGTTTGAAGGCGACTGGCGTTTACACATGTAAGAATACACAATTTTTTATAAATAAATTCCATTTCTGGGGTTCCTCTCGGACATGAGCATATGCTCTGCTCTCCCCAGACTAATCTCTGACCCCAGACTGTAGGGGCTTGGGGTCCTTTCGGGGTTGTGACCTTCTCTGGGAACCCCTCTGCTGGCCCTAGGCAGTCCTCCTAGTCTTCCTCCACACTACGGGGTCTCCCCTGAAGCATGTGCCCAAGCAACTGTGGGCACAGAGACAGCCACCACCAGCCCCAGGACACACAGCGTGTCCAAGGCTGCCCTGGCCAGAGATGCCCCAGGTCCTGGGATCAACCCTCTCTTCCTCCACCCCAGCCAGAGAAGGGCCACGCCGGACAGAGGACACAAAGCGTGGACCTCTGGACATTTTCTGTTTTATAGAACGGGAAATGGCGGCCAGGAGCGAGGGGCCCCTGAGCTTGGAATTGGGTCTCCAGGCCCATTGTTCGGATGGGAAGGCTGAGGCCGAGCAGGGGTGGCTTGGATTAGGAAGCCGGGGTGGGGACGGGGGTCAGCGCGGGCAGGGCGGGCACGGTGAACGTGAGCTTCTCGGTGAGGAGGAAGGCCGTGCCCTTCTCGTAGTAGGCGGCCTCGTTAATGAACACGGGGTACACAGTGGACGCCCCCTCGAAGAGCAGGTCTTCACCGCTGAACATCTGGAAGATGGGTGCCCCGGGCCACAGCGGCTCGAAGTCTCGGTCCTGGGAGGTGAGCAAAGGCTGAGGTTGCTGGGGAATGGTGGGTGGCTTACCAGCGCCTCTGCCCACACCACACGGAGCACGGCCCTCGTGGGGGTCACTCCAGCTTGGCCCCTAAGAGATGCCCCCCACGCGTGGCCCTCCCCGCCCCCTCTTCACTTCCTCAGTCAATGTGGAAGAGACGGGGTCTCGCCAAGTTGCCCAGGCTGGTCTCCAACCCCAGGCTCAGGCAATCCTCTTGCCTCGGCCTCCCAAAGTGCTGGGACAGGCTTGAGCCACTGTGCCCGGCCTGAGGCATAAATTAAGCCATTCATAGCACTTAAAACAGTGTCTGGCACACAATAAGTACAATATAACACTTCATTAAATATAAAACTGGGCCGGGCTCGGTGGCTCAGCTTGTCATCCCAGCACTTTGGGAGGCCGAGGCAAGTGGATTGCCTGAGCCCGAGGGTTCAAAACCAGCCCGGGCCACTTGGCGAGACCTTGTCTCGACAATAAATCAAAAAACTAGCCGGGCGTGGTAGTGCGCGCCTATAATTCCGGCTCCTTGGAAGGCTGAGGTGGAAGGATCGCCAGAGCCCAGCAGATCAATACTGGGGTGGCTGTGAGTGTGCCACTGCCCGCCAGCCTTGGCGATGGAGTGAGACTCCAGCTCAAAAAAATAATAATAAAATAAAATTGTAGGAGAAACCACCCAAAGTCACTACTATTACTTGACATCTGCAGGGCTGGCTTAAGACCCTCTGGCCCTAAACACGGGAAGGACGGTGCTGTCTTCACCATCGTGTCATCACAAGATGACACCTCGAAATACAGACACAACCAGGGAACAAAAGCCACGGGCCTGCACCAGACCCCGTGTGGCAGCGAATGAAGGTGCAGCTTGCGGGCTGCCAGTTCCTCCTGGCCACCCATCCCAGCAACCGAGAAGCAGGATTGCCCAGGCCTGGAACATTCCAGAAGGGAGACACTTGGGCGGTTTACTAGCGGGCCGGGGGATGCTCCTGGAACCCACAGGGGCGAGTTCTGCATGTATGCCTGCAGGCAGGTGAACAGGGTTGAGCGGACGCCATGCCCCCTCCCTCCTGCTGCCTTCTGCAGCCAGGGAAGGGCTGTCCGGGCTGTGGAAGAGACGCTTGGCGCCCCACGGGAGCTGTGGGGGTCACTGAGGCCCACAGGCTAGGCCCGAGGGTGGGGTTCCAGGGAAGGCAGTGGGGGGAGGGGCAGGCGGAGGGTGCACCGCCCAGCCTCCTGTCCTGCTCCCGAACTTGAGGTGCCGGCGGGCTGGTGGGAGGCTTGATTCCTCCCTCTGGGCCTCGGCCGTCCTTGACACCCCTCCCCCAGAGCTGTGGGCCCAGCGGTCACCCCGAGCACAGGCACACCTGCAACTGAGGATGCACGGTGCCCGCCAGGTCCCCGTCTTCGGTGCGCGGGAAGTCCACGGCGCCCACGTTTCTGTAGGCTTCCATCTCAAAGGCAGGAAAGGCCGTGCCTGTGTGCGAGGCTGGGCGTGTGAGCCCGTCCCTCTCCCGCGCGGGGGACAGAGCGGGCCGTGGGGGCCACCAGGGGCTGGATCCCAGCCCGCCTGCAAGCCCCGGTCCCTGGCCTCTGAGCCAGATCCGCTCTTCTCTGGGCCTCAGTTTCCCACAAATCCCCTGGGGTCTCACCTTGGTTGAAGAGCTCGATGAAGTCCAGAACTCTGGCCACCAGGGCCCTCATCCGAGAAAAAACGTCTGCCCGCAGCACGCCCTGGGGCTGGGGACCCAGCTCCAGGCCTGGGGACGGGAGGCAAGGGGTCAGGCCGGCACGGGCCAGTTGCGGGGCGGGAGACCTCAGGACCCAACTCTGGAGAGTCCCCGCCCCCTG